CTGTGGGCGCGCAGGCGGATGGAGCTGACGAACTTCTTGAGGCACAGGGCGCACACGTAGACGAAGGGGTGCTTCCGCACGTGCAGCTCCAGCGCCTGGTACTTGGTGGCCCCGTGGCCGCAGAGCTCGCAGGCGAAGGGCCACTGGTCCCCGTGCACCAGCATGTGGCGGTCGCGGTCCAGCTCGTTCTTGAACTTGCGCTCGCAGCGCGCAGGCGGATGGAGCTGACGAACTTCTTGAGGCACAGGGCGCACACGTAGACGAAGGGGTGCTTCCGCACGTGCAGCTCCAGCGCCTGGTACTTGGTGGCCCCGTGGCCGCAGAGCTCGCAGGCGAAGGGCCACTGGTCCCCGTGCACCAGCATGTGGCGGTCGCGGTCCAGCTCGTTCTTGAACTTGCGCTCGCAGACGTGGCAGTCGTAGAGCAGCTGCCGCTTGCCCTCGCGGGTCAGCAGGCGGAGCCCGTCCAGGGCCTCGCGCACCTGCGGGTCCTGCGGGTCGTGGGCGTCGCGCACGTGCTTGATGAGGTTCTTGACGTCCGAGTACTTCTTCTTGCAGAAGCGGCAGTGCTGCTTGACCTTCTTGTGCACCCGCTCCACGTGCACCTTGAGGTGGCCCTTGCTCAGGCAGGTGAAGGCGCAGAGGTCGCAGGAGAACTTCTCGCCCGTGTGCTTGCGCAGGTGCACGTTGAGGTTGGCCTTGATGGCGCTGGCGTAGCTGCAGTGCGCGCAGGTGTAGGGCTTCTCGTTGGTGTGGATGCGCAGGTGGGCCTGCAGCGAGTGCTTGAACTTGAAGACCTTGTTGCAGTACTCGCAGGTGAAGATCTTGAGCTGCGTGGGCCCGAGCCTGGGGACAGACACGGCACCGTTACCGCCGGGGACTCGGCACAGGCCAGGGACCTCTGACTCGCCTGAACCAGACAGCGAGGGCCCAAAGGGGAACCACGCAGGATTGAGTGTGGACGGGTGACACACGCACGCACGCACCCATGCACTCATCAGCGGGCAGGACCGGAGGAGCGGGGAGGGCACAGGGATGGAAGGGGGGTTCTCTGTGGTGGTGGCG